GTCAGTGTATATTAATGTAATTTTTTCTGTGATGGCAAAACTGAAATGACTCTAGTCATCGATGTTACATGATCCTTCAGAAATAATTCTGATATATGCTGATTTGAAATAGAAGTCTTTTGTAACATTATAAATGTCATTGTCACTTTTGGTCAATTTAATGGCTCCTTGCTAAATAAAAGTATTTAAATACTTCAGCATAACTCAGAATATTAATGTCAGTCATCCCAAGATAAAGTGTACTGCTACAATACTGTGAAAGCTACAACCAGCTACTTGCAAAATGAAACATTTTCTGTGATTATATTTATATCTAGGACTCTGGGAACCCCTAACAATGAGGTCTGGCCAGATGTTGAGTCGCTGCCAGATTATAAGAATACCTTCCCAAAGTGGAAATCTGGGAATCTGGCCAGTACTGTGAAAAACTTGGACAAGAACGGCATTGACCTGCTCACGGTAAAAGGCCGTCCTAACGTACCGGTGTCCTATTTATCTGTTTGGTTTTGTTTCTCTTTCTCTCCTCACATATTTATTTTTATTGTGTCTTTTTGTTTAGAAAATGCTGATTTATGACCCTCCTAAGCGGATCTCAGCACGGCAAGCAATGACACATCCATATTTTGACGATTTAGACAAGAGCACTCTTCCAGCCAGTAACCTCAAGATATAGACTTCAGTTCTAAAGCAATGTAAGCTTAGTCTTTTGACACGCAATAATTAACCTTTTGCTAATTTGTTTATTGGGTGGCTTTTGTACTTTTCTACTTTTTCTACTTTTGTTTTGTATTCTTGTATGTCTTTTTCCTATCCTGTTTTGTTACATCAAACACCCGTTTGTAAATAAAACATATATTTTTTGTGGACCTGAAGTGGCATATTACAAAGATAAACTGTTCATAATAAAGAGCACTTTGTATCCCATCATGGACTGATGTCTTCTGTTTTCATATACATTAATACATTATATTAATTGTATCCTCTGCAGTGAATGGGTGCCGCCAGAATGAGAGTCCAAACAGCTGATAAAAACATCACAATAATACACACGTAAATGACACGACAGTCCATCAATTAACATTTTGTAAAGTAAAATGCTGTGTTTGTAAAAAATAAAATAAAAATCTACCGTTAAGGCATTTTATCTCCTAAACTCTAATTTCTGGCCAAAATACTAGTCCATAATAATGCATCTTCAAGTGAATAAATCTGCCCCCATTTTCCTTTCACATCAAAATCCAATTGACATTTAAGAATGATTTTTGTCTGTTTTTGCTTGTAAACAGTACTTGATCTGTGCCTATTTCTCCTGATTCAGACAGATGACTTTTTCCATTTGAGAAAGCAATATTATGGATAGAGGACTCATATTTTAACAAGAAGCAACGGTTTATAGTTAAAGGGCCTTATTGATGGACTTTCTTATCACAAACATGCAGTTTATGAGATGTTAATTGATGGACTGGAGTCTGACGGCACCCATTCACTCCCAGTGGTAAGCAAGGGATGAGGAACATAATGCTAAATTTTTCCTAAACAAACGTATCTACATCTTGATTGGATGGCCTGAGGGTCAGTAAATTAAGCAAATTTTCATTTTTGGGTAAACTATTCTTTTGATGTGTACATTTTACCTGTTCATGCATTTCACTGGAATTGAACCCATAACTTTGGTGCTAGTAGTGCCATGCTTTACTTTTTTCAGCTACAGGAACATAAAATAACCAGTAAGTGAGACAATTTTGTGGACAAAGTATTTATTTATCTTCATTAAAAAAAACAAAGTATGTGTCTGTAGCATTATTGTTAAATGTAGAAAAGTCCAAACTTTGAGAGTGGTCTTGACCTAATGTAATGAGCTCAGTGTTTGATGTCCAACACTGTTTGATCATTAGTAATGAACTAGCATTCTGCAGTGCAGTGAAAGAAAGTGTTGGACAACAAACACTCGACCCATTCATTCTTCTCTCAGCATGAACGCATACTATTCTCTTGCTTTCCGTGTTTCCCATAGTGTTTGCCAGAAAAATAGGAAGAAAATATCCAAGGCATTTGGTACTATTGCTTCATGATTTCTTTTCCTTCTCCATGTCTACTCTGTAAACAGTTAAATACCATTTCTTTGCAGATCACATAATGTTTCATGTAATATTAATGATGTTTTTTCTGAAATAGATAGTTTCTTTGTTTAAACCGTGAACGAGTGATTGAGTGTGTGTAAGCTTGCTTTATACTCACTCCAAAGATATCTCTCCAAATGTGATTGCATAGCAAGCTCTAAATGACTGTGTGTACATAACCTATCCCCTTTTTGAATAACATAGGACACAAAAAACTTTGAGAATAAAAAGAATGATTCACTATTTTAAACTAACCAGTTTTTTCTTCAGTACATGACTGTACCAAAGCCTATTATCATATCTTAATATCAGTTATACTCTATGAAATGTATCTGTATATTTAGTCATTTAGGTCAGTCCTACTAGTATTTTTGACTTCTAAGAGCTCTGCAATATAATGACTTCACAAAGGGTGCTATAGAGAAAAGACTCTGACACAGTCATGAATATTCATAAGATTGAGAGCACACTGTACTGTAAACTGCCTTTTTGGTTTACAGCACAAGGAAACCTTTGTGTATTACAAATCATTAGCCCGAAGGCACTTTTTGAAAATGCTTGTCTTGTAAAAGGAATAGTTCACCCAAAAATGAAAATATGCTGAGAATGTACTCAACCTCAGGCCATCCAGTATGTAAATGAGTTTGTTTCTTCATCAGAGCAGATTTGGAGAAATAAAGCATTTCATCACTTGCTCACCCAATGGATACTCTGCAGTGAAGAGGTTACCTTTACTCTTTCATCTCCTTCTTTCTTCTGTTTCTTTTGCTTTTCCCATGTCCTTGCATTCTACTTTTATCTTACTGCTTTTGAGCTTTTCTTCTGATATTCATTGCTTCATCCCTGAGATATAATAATTTGGAATACTCTGCACTTTAATACAAATAAATGTACTTCCTATTATAATTCTCATATTTACTTTGTTTTAATGTATCAATTATTTGATATTATTTAATAAATTTGTTATTCCTTCATCTAAAATTGACCTCTGACATAATCATTACTCATCTGCCTGGATCTCACTGCATCATGTTCTTTTTTCAGTTTTTAAATTTTCAGTTTTAGGTGAACTATTCCTTTAATGCAGGGTGCTTGCAGAAATTTAAAGATCGAAGTATGGTTTATCAAAAACAATCAACCGTTTAAACCATTTAAGAACACTGAAAATCATCAAAGCACTAAAAATTTGTCAAATATCTTGCATTACCTTCATCAACATGTCCCATTTAATCAACGTATTAATAAGATTTATTGGGGAGGTTGCATCCATTGGTTAATATTTACCCAACAAAATGGTGTTGATGTACTGTAAATCAAAGGTCACAGTACAGGTCTCAGTAAGCATGTGTAGTAGGTCAAACTGCCCCTGTTGTCCATTTAAATCCAACTTTCTTTGTTGGTATCCTGTTTTATTCTTGTGTGGCTATTTCCTGTTTCCTCTACTGGGTAAATAGTTTAATGAAATGTTTAATGAAGTAATGTGTGTTTTCCTGCTTTAGGGATGTGTGTATGTTTCAGAAACAGATGGGGACAGACATAAACAGATACAACCACCCAACTCCAGTGTTTGTACTTTGAAGACATGCAGGAAACTGAGAGATACTGTGTGAATGTAAAGTATGAAAGAAAACAAGAGGAAGAGAAAGACGACGTGGTGATATTTCTCACCTTTTCCCACAATGTTAAAATAGCAATGAAAACCCAAAGGTCAGATAACCAGAATAGATCATCCCTTATACAAAAATATAGAGAATCCAGATAGATAGAAACTAGACCAAAACATTTATTTCAAGTGGACATTACTAGACACATACTGGTTACAGCTGTGTTCAGGAGCTGTAAATATCTCTGGTTAAAATGCATGGTCCTTTGAAAAGGCTGATCTAGGAACTGCTGTAGATCAACTACAGATTCTCTCTAATTATCTCAGCCTGTTCGCATGTCAGAGTGACTCAAATAGTCTGATATCATAAAGTCATATCTGAATGCGCACTGCGAGAGTAATCATGCATGAGCAGACCCCTTTTAACACATGTACGCAATAGATATATGTGTGTTTGCCTCCGACATTTCATTATACAAAAAAAAACTAGAGTTCTCTTACTGTTTTTGATCTTGCTTCACAACACTGTCTGACATACAAGCATTGTAAAACATTAAAAAAGCTCAATAAAAGTAATATTTTAATATTAGGAACCAAATAATAAATGCTGTAATATAACATCTACTATTGGTACTAGTTTGGTTGTACATAACATATTCAAACACATTCAAAATACATTTCTAAAACTGTTGTCACCCATAAATGTGTTTCTAAGCAGTACAAGCCAGGGGTTTTAAATTTTTTTGATGCCACTAACCCCCAAATATGATCATCCTGGTGCTAGGGACCCCCATCCTAAAATGTAAAATGTTGCTATACATTTTTAATGTATAAATAATATTAAATTATGTGCAAAATATTATTTGGAAAATAGTTTTTATGATCATATAAAATAGTGTATTGATGATGATTAATAATAATAGTATTATTATATATCATAATTATTATTATGATTAATAATATAGTATTAATAATGAATTATTTATTTGTTTAAATCTATTTTTAAATCAATTTATTTTAATCAGTTTTTTATTTATAAACTTTTCCACTGACCCCATAGAACTTGTTTCAAATAGTTGCCTAGGCAAAATTTCTTATTTTAAAACTACTTACTAAAAATCAAATTAAAAATTAGATAGACAGACAGACAATAACTAATAAAAAATGACTAAAACTTTAACTAAAATGATAGTGAATATAAAACAGAAACTAATTTAAAATATGAATAAATATTCTAATAGTATCTCAATGACACTAAAATAAAATAAAATAACACTGCCTAGCACTCTCTCGCATCCCCTTGGGGGGTCCCCAGATCCCAGTTTGAAGTAAAACATCTGGCACAGTTAATGGAATGTATTTGTATTGAAGAAGCTACATTTTCATTTTAATCTTATTTTCTTTGCTTCTTTCATATTGGAGGAGAGGTAGATGGTAGTGATGATGATGGTGGTTTAAAATCTTGACAGATAACTATGAGCCTGTAGAGGTTGAGGACGACCACTAGAAAGTTCTTAATAGCGAAGAAGACCAACATCTGGTGGAACACATCAAAGTATATCATCACAATGAGACGTACCACGAGAAAGGGCCCGTCCTGGATAAACAAACTCTCCACGATGTTCCAAATATCTGTACTGTGTCTTGACAAGACCAAGTTACAACAGCCGTTTCCACCCTTCGGCTCATCTGAGTTCTGCGGCCGGGACGTCACAACTGTAACACACATGAAAGAGAGAAGCAAAAACAACACAAACACAGAGATATTAATATTATAACTCCAAGCCAAACTAAATAAATTTGCATGTTACACTAGCCAAGTTTAGACACAGCTAACTGTTCAGTTTTTTGTTGTGCACTTTGCTCCATAAACTATGGGAAATCAATGACTCTAAATGCGTGGGGTTTTTATGTTTTTTTATGTTAAGTTTTTCCTCAGAAATCTGAGCTATGAGCTGTTTTTTTCCTCAGAATTCTGAGTATACAGTTCAAAATTCTGTTCTTTCTTGTTTCCACCACACGATAAAAAAAAAAAAAAAAGTAATTACACCGTTTTATCTCACAATATTTAATTTTTCCCTTGCAATTACGAGTTTCTCAATTCAGAATTTAATGTTTCTATATGAACTTGCAATTATGAGTTTATAACTTATATAACTCACAAATCTAAAAAAGTACGAATGGTGAGATAAAAATATGTAATTACATTTTCTATTTTTTATTTCATGGCAGAAATAAGTTTCCACAGTTTACAGACCAGTCAGCAGGGTAGATTTGCAGAAGTGAACAGTCAGTTGAACTTTCGGCAAATGGTTGAAAAGATCCCAAAAAATCCACCCCTCTCCTCTTCCTATGGGGTTTGGTAATGTTTAAATTCATGCGGCTGCCAAAGCTCTCATTCCTCAAAGGACAGCATGCATAGAGCATAACGCAACAAAAACACATGCTGTTGATCTACAAACGACTGGAGCACTGTTACACTACATTGAGTTGCATCCCAAACCGCTAGTTTATGTGAGCTCCAAGGGTAAGAAAAATACTTTTGATGGAGCAGGATGAAACATTTACGATATCTGAGCGTCAAACTGAAATTTCACAGAACAGCAGGGTCCTCCTCCAGTCACTTGAGGGAGCCTGAACTGTTTTATAGGTCATTTTGCTGCTTTTCAAAGCAACATCTGTGACGTTTGATGGTGGGATGTTAAAGAAACACAAATAGGTGATCACAAACCTGCCAGGTGAAAAGGAAACTGCAACATACTCCATGTCCACATTGCCAAGATTATATACACCAGTTGATTGTTGTTCTCCCTATAACACACAGTAAAGAACTTGTTATGCAGATCTGCATCAAATAATGCATTAGAATTTATATAGGAGTCTTTCTGAATTTGAAAAGAAGGCAAGGAAGGCATTATGGCTGGCATAATGATTCTCAAACAGCAATACTTATGTCTGTTTTACCAGCCGACACAAAAAAAAATCAACTCTGATGGCCCATTCTCAGGAAAGGGGCCATTTGTGTTACTACTGATATCACTGACAGGAAAAACCAGAGATACTGTCTCTGTATATGATTGATTCAACTGTATTTAGAGTGTAATACAAAAAAAGGAAAGAAAAAACGGTAATTTTATATGTGACTCAGGACCACAAAACCAGTCATAAGGGTCAATTTTTTGACATTGAAAGCTGAATAAATAAGCTTTCCATTGATGTATGATTTGTTGGGATAGGACAATATTTGACTGAGATACATCTATTTGAAAATCTGGAATCTGAGGGTGCAAAAAAAAAATCTAAATATTGAGAAAATCACCTTTAAAATTGTCCAAATGAAGTTCTTAGGCAATGCCTATTACAAATCAAAAATTAAGTTTTGATATATTTACGGTAGGAAATGTACTAAATATCTTCATGGAACATGATCTTTACTTAATATCCTAATGATTTTTGGCATAAAAGAAAAATTGATCATTTTGACCCATACAAGGTATTGTTGGCTATTGCTACAAATATACCTGTGCTACTTATGACTGGTTTTGTGCTCCAGGGTCACATATTTGCACGTCACCATTTATTATACATTTTAGTTGATTAAATATAAATAAATGAAATTAAAATAAAAAGTCTGCCTTTTTAAATACTTCATATGCTTTGTCTGTTCCTTGTGTTTGTTTGTTTTCTAAAATGCTTTAGAGATTTTCTGACAAAAAGCCAATTTTCTCTTTGTCCCTCAGAAATGTACCATACAAAATATCAAATAATGTTGTGTGGTGTGATGATATTTCCTAGTAAATGCCAGTAACATTACCCTCACATTTTAAATGTAACAGGGTTGACATTTAATTACACAAAATACAATTTGAAAGAGAAATGTCATTGGTTTTTAGTATTTATTATTACATTTACATTTAGTCATTTAGCAGTCGCTTTTATCCAAAGTGACTTACAAATGAGGACAATAAAAGCAGTCAAAACTAACAAAAGAGCAACAATATATAAGTGCAAATGACAAGTCTCGGTTAGCCTAATGCAGTACACGTAGCAAGGTGTATATATATATATATATATATATATATTATACACACACACACAAAGAAAGACAAGTAGATAGAATAGAAAAAATAGAAAGCTAGTTATTATTATTATTAGCTATTATTATTATGTGTAATTTATTGTGAGTACAATTTGCTGAACATTCAGCAGTAACAACGTTTCAAATAAAACAATTACAAATTGCTGATCTTTTCAGGCACAAAATGCACCTGAGGGCCGAACAATAATCATCAATCAAATCGAGAAATACAGCATTGTAGATCAACAATAGCTTATGAACTGGCATTGAGTCAAGCTTTTGTTTAATGGCTGAGAACAGGAAGTACCCACTTGACATCAGAAAGAGTTTCACTGGTGAATTCCAGAATGTCTGCCGCCGTGCCAACAAAGATGAGTAAAAGCTGAGACAGCTCGTCACGCGTGACTCCTCCTCCTAATGGGAGCAGCCACTTTCCGAGGATGAGAAGAATGAGCAGAACCTGATGAAGACCAAGGATCCAGTCATTCGGACACACGGAAGTGAGCATGCGCTCCAAATGCTGAAAGACACAATAGTTTACACACACAGATATTTATATGTGTTGAACACATCACACCACTGACAAGCAAGAGGAACAGTCTCTTCATTCCCAAGAAACATGACTTGATGAATCATCTTATTTACCACAAGGATTCAGCACTTTTGGCTGCCCGTTATGAGTGAACTGCAAATTACTTTGGAGAAAAGCATCAAAGTGGTCAAATTTACGAAGGAAAATGAGCAAAGATCAAGTTTTCCTGGTTTCTAGACCCACAGAATGTGGGAAATGAGGTCCAAAAATAATAGCTCATCATAGGAATAGATGCAGAATGAAATAAGCAGTATAATAAAGACTTCTTGCTAGAACCTTTGAATTCCTATGAGTGTCAAAATGCATCTTGGACATCCTCCATTAAACATAACAATGGAAACATTTCAAAGAACCCCCACCAAAACCAGAGCAGAGGGTGATGGGATGGCTGGGGTGTACTAGCAAAATATTAGTGATATATCATGATTTCTTCTGTTTAAATCTGAAGAGGAAACGAAAGGCAAGACAAAAGGCTCCATTAGCCATTCTGCATACTACATTATGAGGAAAAGTGTCTGTGTTGTGGAGCACAGGAAATGAATGACATCACAAATTGGAAGCATGTGTGATTTGTGCATATGTATATAGCAGATGCATCACAGTCAGAGCATTAGTCACTTTTGTACAGCAACGCACTGAACCACAAATTAAAACTTAAAAATAAACAAATAATAATTTTCAAGATTACCTTTAGTGTTTCCTCACCCATTGTGCCGTTTGTAGGCAATATGCTCTTGACATTGTCCCAAGAGTCCAGTTTCCTACACTGCCAGACACAAAAAAAGCACAGAGAAGAAATTAGAGAAGTAAGGAAGATCAGCTTATATAAGAGCATAACAGGGCTATACTGACTTCACAAAAACATATGCATAATCACAACATTTTGCTGACAAATAACATTTACGAGACATTAAAATGGCTGTCCTCATCCTAAAATGAATCAGAATTTGTCTGCCAAGTATGCTTACACACACAATGAATCTGTATTGGTGAAGCTCCCAGTACAGAGAAAAAATAATAATAATAAAATAAGACACAGATAAAAACAATATACACAATGATATACAATATAAACTGCAGGCCAAAAGTCCATAACAATTAAGGATTTTTAAGTTTTTTTAGTCTCTTATGCTTACCAAGGCTGCATTTATTTGATCAAAAATATAGTAAGAACAAGAATTTTGTGAAATATTATTACAATTTAACATATCCCTTTTCTATTTAAATATATTTTAAAATGTAATTTATTTCTGTGATAGCAAAGCTGAATTTCCAGCAGCAATTACTCCAGTCTTCACTGTCACATGATCCCTCAGAAATAATTATAATATTCTAAATTGTAAAGTATTACAATATTACTGTTTTTTTACTGTTTTTTTTATCAAATAAAAGCAGCCGTAGTAAGCTTGAGACACATTTTTCTGTAGAAAAAACAAACATACATACTTTTCACAGAAAGTGCAAGGTCATACAGGTTTGGAACGACATGAGAGTGAATATAGAAAACTACCTGAGGGTCACTGGCTTTGTTCTCTTGATGATGTAACTCTAGAAGCCATATGGATGGAATAATGCTGATGAGGAAGAAGAGGATGGCTGGCGAAAACCTAAAAGAGGACAGAAGATGGTTAAATCACTTTTATAGAAGTTACACTGAACAACTAAATAATAAATGCTATTTTTTTGAATGTTCCTTTCAGGGCCAACGTTAGGGTCACTGCTGGAGACCACTCAGATTATACTAGACCACTAGTATTTTTCACACACACCCTGTGTGTTACTGTGTCAGCAGTAACAATAGGTCTAGCAGGATGTTGGTGAGGGGGAGGGAGGGAGATAGGAATGTCGATAACTTTTTAGGAAAATTGAATTAAAAATGTAACTGAAACCTAAGAACAAGCTACCACTAAAGAAGTCAAATAAAAGCCACATAAACATCGAAATTAAGCTAAATATTGAATACAAGTTATTTGGACCAAGAAGAGTGAGTCATCCAGCAGAAAATGATCAACAGCTGTTGGCAAGATCAGTGAACCTGACAATACTGTAAATCGTGTATATTCATTTGTTGAAATGTAAATGGAAAGTGTATCACTCACCATTTGTAGTCTTTCCCTTTCCTTCGTTTTAAAGTGATGATCATCTCCACGACCAGAGGAAGGTAAAGGACAGTCAGTAACCAGTACATGTTGTCATTTTTCACTGTTTTCACTCTCCAGACGCCGATGAGAGAGACCAGAATAAAAAAAGACCTGGTTATGATGGCGCACACGAATTTAACTAAAATCATGGTAGAGGCAATGGTGTCCCGGGTTTGAGCGGTGTAAAGTGCGCTTAGACTGACTCCCGTTGAGTCCCCAGTTTGTGTTGAATCCTCCCACCAGCGTCAGTGTGTGAAATCACTTTCAGAGGTGAAATGTTTGTCCTGAAGACACAGCTGGAGGAAGCCTGAAAGAGCTTATACAAGACCGTGTCGTTTAAACGTACGTTTATTGTATATCTGGACACTCTTTCTTTACAGTTTAGCAAAACTTAGCAAAAGTTTTTTTCTAAGTTCTTTCAGTGACAAAGGAAACGTGCGAAACTTTAAGTGACCGGTAGAGGGCAGCATTCAATAATCAGTGTGTGCGACAGAGAGAATATAGTTTAAATTCTACACTGTTTATTATTGTTATTTAAATGAATACACCACAAAGACTGTGTCCGTTTGTCTGTGGTGATGGCCATCACATACACAACCACTGGAAAAACATAACACCTTTTATGCATCCATAAGTCAAGTCAAATTGATTACAATTTTTTACTTTAACTTTAATATTAAAATGTTTAAATTTGATTGAAAAAAAATCTTATTAGTAAGATTGTTCATGTTTATAATGTTCATTTTCAGTGATATAATGAGAACAATGCAGTGAATTTTGCATTATGTCAGTTTATTACAATACAGCAACAATGACAATTTAGCACACATTATATATATATGTGTGTGTGTGTGTGTGTGTGGAAGCATGTATGTGCAATATATGTACACAAGTTTGTCCTGAAGACACAGCTGGAGGAAGCCTGAAAGAGCTTATACAAGACCGTGTCGTTTAAACGTACGTTTATTGTATATCTGGACACTCTTTCTTTACAGTTTAGCAAAACTTAGCAAAAGTTTTTTTCTAAGTTCTTTCAGTGACAAAGGAAACGTGCGAAACTTTAAGTGACCGGTAGAGGGCAGCATTCAATAATCAGTGTGTGCGACAGAGAGAATATAGTTTAAATTCTACACTGTTTATTATTGTTATTTAAATGAATACACCACAAAGACTGTGTCCGTTTGTCTGTGGTGATGGCCATCACATACACAACCACTGGAAAAACATAACACCTTTTATGCATCCATAAGTCAAGTCAAATTGATTACAATTTTTTACTTTAACTTTAATATTAAAATGTTTAAATTTGATTGAAAAAAAATCTTATTAGTAAGATTGTTCATGTTTATAATGTTCATTTTCAGTGATTTAATGAGAACAATGCAGTGAATTTAGCATTATGTCAGTTTATTACAATACAGCCACAATGACAATTTAGCACACATTATATATATGTGTGTGTGTGTGTGTGGAAGCATGTATGTGCAATATATGTACACAATAAAGGATAGAACTTTATGAATATTACATGTAATGCTATTTTTTCTTCATTTCTAAATTATTAATGTATCAGTATAGCCATAAATGGTCAATGGATATATTGCAGTATAAAATATAAGCACTAGTTTCCCATATATGGAAATGTGTTATGTAATATATAACATTATATTTTGCCGTATATTCCCATATTATTATTTTTTTCGTAAGAGATAGCAAGTCAGATGTTTATAATAAGGATCAAGTTCATCTTAGGATCAAGAAGGCTACTCAACTTTCTGCTCCTCTCAGCCATTTTCCCAGACTCCCCCTCAGAGGGAAAAGCAGAACTTCTCTGCTATTCACCTTCAACACAGAACCACTTTCACATGCTAGCTGCCTCATAGCTGACAAGGCAAGAGCAAAACAGTAGAAACTATATGTAAAATATTTTCATTGTAAGATTTTACAATTTTCTTCGTCTTATTATTATTATTATCTTTTCTAAGACACTCACAAATTTTGCAGTGTGTAGGCTAGGCACCCATAGGAATCAGTACTCATGTCAGTAATAGCCAACAGTTTCATCTTTCTTTGGTCTGAATATTTTATGCACAAACCTGAAGGGACAGAAAAAGGCATGAATAAATTGAAGATTTTATAAATATTTTAAGAGAATTTTAAAAATGGTGGTCTTGGTCATTTTGTATCTTTTCGTGCTTGTTTAACAATAATATGTGTAGGTACTTACACAGTATTCCATAATGGAGATTAGGGGTATTTATTTAATGTCTTTTTTTTTTTTTTTTTTTGCATTTAATTGTATATGTCTGTATATTTTGTTCTGCTTTTAAACCAGTTTTTAAAATGCTTTTATTTGATGAGCTAAATAAAAGTGGAAACCTACAAACTACAATCTATATATATTTAAAGCCTATAAAATTTAAAGGCATACACATGATAATTTTTATAGAAAAACTTCCCAAAGACTGGCTCACTAAACACACACAGTAGTCTCATTCGGAATGATCTTTAATGAACAGTCACATTTGGTATTCATAAACATGGCAACAACAAAAAAAACTATATTTACTCAACATGTCTGTCATTCTGAGGCACATTCACACAGCGAGAACTTGATTTGGGATACTGTCCTGTGCATAAGTCCAAATTTGAACTAACATTTTTCTACAGAGTATTAGAGTAAGGCAATAAAAGTCATGAATGTGTAGAGAGTGAATAAACAGTTTTTTTGTTCCTTTTTCATCCCTTCTTCACTAATGAAGTGCACAGAGGTATGACAGACTCTTTATTTATTTTTGAACTGAGCAAACAGCTGCTGCTTTGTCAGTCAAACAGTCATATTTCCAGCTGACACACCACACTCGAATCTAAACAGTTCACACACTTACTTATATACAGACAAAACATGCAGAGAAACACAATCACACACACACCCTCATATATAATCAGAACTCCTAGAAAACACAAAACACACTGACTCGGCTTTATTTTTTATCCACTACTATTCAAAAGTTTGGGTTAGTTAGATTTTTTTTTAAAGAAATTAATACTTTAAAATGACAATAATAAAATTGATGATTTAATTAGATTTCTATTTCAAATTAATTCTGAAACAATTCTGAAAATCCTGAAAAAAATGCATCACTGTTTCTACAACTGTTTTCAACATTGATAATAATAATAAATGCTTCTTGAGCACCAAATCAGCATATAGAATGATTTCTGAAGGATCATGTGACACTGAAAACGGAAGTAATGCTGAAAATTAAACTTTGCCATCACAATAATAAATTACATTTTAAAATATATTCAGATAAAAAACTGTGATTTTAAATTGTAATAATGTTTCATAATATTACTGTATTACAATATTTCAGTATTGTTGATCTAATAAACGAAGCATTGGTATGCCCCCAAACGTTTGAGCAGTATGAGTACATACAGTGTAGAATTTATCATAGTGAACAAAAAAATTTAATTACATTTTTTTTTTTTTTACTTTGAGCAAAGGCTACATGTTGACTTTAGATTTTAGGATACTGGCAGCTAAAAGTTCTCAAAAAAAAAAATATATATATATTGTGCATCCATGTCTGCTGTGATTGGCTTCTACTTTTGAATCTTAAGGAGTAAGTAACAAGTTCAGATACAGTACAGCACAAAATTCTAGGCATGCATCTGTGAAATTGAACTTTTTCACCACCAGAGGGTGCAAGAACGAAACCATCAGTCTCTGATAGAACAGCGCAAACTCCTCAAGAACCTGGACATAGCTGTCCTGCAGTGGATATGTTTAGGATATGTTTTATACAAATCAGTTCTACTTACTGCTTGATGTTCTATCAGGAATCATCATACACCATCAATACTGCATCACACAGTCTCTAAAAACAAAACAAGAACATCAAAATAACAATGTTTAATGAGTAATAAAGGTTAAAGGAGAACTGCGTTCAGAGTAGAAAATGAAAAGACTGAGGACAAAGGAGAAGGTTTAAAGGCTGAGGTGGCATGTAGGTGCTTAAAGGATCAGTTGGCGTAAAACTCTTAAAGCATTTGTTTTTTGTCACATCCATCTGGATAATGTAATGCTAGGCAGTATACATGCAGTAGAAGTCCTCAGAGGCGAATGGCAAGGGTGAATAGAGGCTCAGTGGGCACATAGACCACAGGATCTGTGTAAATGAAGAAAATCCCCATATAGAAGGTTTAAAGGCTGAGGTGGCATGTAGATGCTTAAAGGATCAGACTTCATGCAGCACAAGTCCAACATAAGAGAGACGGGCAGCTTGATGGCCCCAGTGGAAACTGAGCAAGACATCCCTGTCTGAGAGTCACTGTGTGTTAAAAAAAGTCACAAACGGTTTGGAGATAAACAGAGCTGGGCTCTGAATATCGATCAGAAAAAGCACCAAAAAAAACATTAAAAATTCACAGTGGGATTGAAGGTTTTGGAAATTTAGCTTTACTCTGTTATCAATTTTTTCTCAATTCAAATCTTGATTTTTTTACTTTTTTTGCCTTGAATAATTTTTTTGTCTTACTCTTTTCTATTGTTTCTGTTGCACTTTTTGTAACACTTCTCAGTTCATTGAGCAAAGATATAATTTTCTAGCATTAGCTGGGGGTCTGTGAGGCCCCCCCAAAGGGGTTTGAGTATATCTGAAGGATTCTGGGGCCATTTGTCTTGGAGTTCATCTGTATCTTGTTTTGTAACGTAGCATTCAAAGGTTGTTCAGGAGGCCTTCTTGTTATATGCACAACTGCGTCTGTGTGAATGTTCGCCCAAGTTAGCGCCCAACGCTGATGTTGCAGGTCTTGCAGCTGGGGTCTTTCTTAGCATTCACAGTTGACAAGCTCATCAACTGGTGGCCGCTGATCTGAGAGACAGTCCCCTGTGCCAGCGGCACCGGCTCAGTATAAATCAGCTCCAGAATCACATCCTGCGCATGCTGAAACACCACCTGCCCATCCTCCCCGCAGACACGTGTCAGAAAGCGGTTGTTCGTCACATCCAGCTCCGGAAGGCGATCTCTGCAGTAAAGGTCTCCGTGCGAGCCCCGCGGAGCCAGGACAAGGATAACATAATGATAAGCAGTGTACATGCAGTAGAAGTCCCCGAAGTAGAGGCGCGTATCAGGGGTGAACAGAACCTCTGCAGGTATCTGGAAGCGGAAGCGGCCGTATGGGGAATCCTGGGGCGGCTGACCGGTGTTAAACTCAGTGTTGCAGCTGAAGAAGATCCCCTCCAGTTTACCGCTGAGAGGTGAACCGTGACTACCGCTGTTATCCTTTACCGAGGGTATCATTCGACTGCCAAGAACATCTCTGTGCGAGAAAAAAAAAAGACATTTCTAAAATCCCTTAATCACATTTTATATTTTCATTATACTACTGTTCAAACATTTGTGGTCAGTTAGATTTTTTTACGTTTTTGAAAGAAGTCCCTTATGCTCACTAAGGCAGCATTTGTTTAAAAAATGCAGCAAAGCAGAATTATTGTGAAATATTACTACAATTTAAAATAAATGTTTTCTATATAATTTATTGATTTGGTGCTCAAGAAACATTTCATATTACTATCAATGTTGAAAACAATTGTGGTTCTTTTTTATGGAAATCATGATAGGATGAATAAAAAGAAAAGCATTTATTTGAAATAGAAATCTTTTGTAACATTATAAATGCCTTTACATTCACCTGTAATCAATTTAAAGCATCTCTGCTGATAAAAGTATTATTTTCTTCATGACGTCACGAAGGACCATGATTGAATAAAAACTTTCTGAAACTTTTACAAACCCGGAAGGAGTGCATTTGGCACAGAAATACTCCATTATATGTCCAAATCGTTTTTTGAAACTTTGGCCATGTTTAGCATGAGAATCCATCCTCTTTAAAGGGGTCATATGATGCGATTTCAATAGTTCCTTTCTCTTTGGAGTGTAACAAGCTCTTGGTGCATAAAGAAGATCTGTAAAGTTGCAAAGACTAAAGTCTCAAATCCAAAGAGATATTCTTTATAAAAGTTAAGAGTCAGCCACACCTACCTAAAACGGCTCGTTCTAACACGCCCCCACATGTCTACGTCAC